TTTCAAACGCAAAATGAATACAAATAAGTTTGTATCCTTTCTTAATTCGTATTTATATGTAATGATTAGATTATATTGGGATACAATCAGTAACATTTTTGTAATAAATAAAAGAAAAATATATTTGGCAGTTATGTAATACAATTTTGATCACTTGGATACAATTTTTAGTTTTCACTATGAAAGTAAAATATCAGTTTTAATTTGAATGGTAAAGTGAGCACATAAAATGCAAAAGTTGTTGGTATACAATTATGATGAAAACATAATAAAAAAAGAAAGTTTCAGTTTTGGAGAACACCGATTATATCAAAGTTTGAGTTGGGAATTCTTCTTCCAAAGTTGTTTGTCAACGAAATTTTAATAATTTGTATTTCATTTGGCATACTTATTAGAATGAATACAAACTAATAAAGAAATACAAATGCCATTAGACAAACCCAAACATGAAAATCATAATGAATACAAATACACATATATATTGGAATGAATACAATTTAGGAAAGGATATAAAATTCTAAAAAAAATACATTACGCTGTGAAAAAACTAAATGAATACAAATATGATTCTTCAAGAACTACAGATCAATTTGACATACAATTTAGCATCCATATTGAAATGAATCTCGTATTGTGCATAGCCTTTGCCTCAACTGCAATAGCCGATTCAATCCAATGCCACAAAGTTCTATTGAAAGCAACTGCAATAAGAATAACTTGGGGGAAACTGGTGGCACCTTTAATAGGGCCATTGAAATTGATCCCAGATTCCTTAGTGCCAATACCATGAAGAGATTCTAACCACCATTCATATGCTAGTAATCACGTCTTGGAGGAATTTCTGAAATATTAAAACGAAATTAGAAAAAAATTGTTTAAACGACTAAAAATCTGAAATACATAAATATTAGATGAATATGTAAACAAACTTGAATAAAAATCAAAAAAATTAACTGAAAATCCGTAATATGTACAATTCTAAATAAAATCATAGATGGTGATATTGAAAACAAATCAAAAGAAATCTAAATAACTAATCGATATTACCTTTACCAAATTCAAAATTTCTTGAATTAATCTCTAGATTTTGTTTGCCAACTGACTAATCCCTTGAATTAATCCACCAATTTTGTTGAAGAATCGAGCTTTGAATACCTTGTGTTTCAATGTGAGCAAAAAACTTGAAGAAAAAGAATCTAAGAACGTGAAAATTGGGGGAAAACAAAAACTTTAATTGCGAAACGTGAAAGGTGGGAAACGTCTAAGATGTGGGAAGATATTAATGGATAGTTTTGTATTTTTTTTTATTTTTAATCTGTTATTGGTTAGAATTTGATCCAATTATGGACTCTTTTGATTAATAAAAGGAAATATAAATAATAAAATGTGAATACAAATTATTTTTGAAAATATTGACATTCTGTCATTTTAAATAAACATTTTAAAGTGTTGTTGTTTTGACTAAATATGTTAGGTATTATGACTATATAGCTAATTTTTCCAAATATTTACCCTCCGTTCAATAATAGTTGTTTACTATATTATTTTAGATGTTCAATAATATTTATCAACTTTATCAGATCAATGTATAATTTTACACTTAGTTCATAATTTTTTACTATCATTAATTATAGTCATTTCTCGATTATATTTTTCACAACATTGAATTTATTATATTCAAAGGTCATTAGTAAAATTATCATTATATTCATAGTTTTTTAAGAACGTGCAAAATCAATAGGACAACTATTATTAAACAGGGAGTAAAGTATTATATTTGATCCATATTTAATATAATAAAATGATTAATCTCAACGATATTAGTAACACATTTTAATATACAAGAGAGTGTAGCATAAAAAATGTAGTACCAAATAAGGTATGTTAGTTGACTTTACCCTTACTGTTAAAATAAAGTTATGCTTACCCTCGCCGTCTACAAACTTATTACTCGTACCCATCAATTGTATGAAAAACCCTAAATCAACAAAATAACCTGAATTTACTTAAATTACCCAAATTTTAACTCAATTCAACCCAATAACTCACTTTTGTTAATCTCATCTTTTAACCTTGTGCTTATTTCCAAACTCTCTCGTGTCTGCTTGCAACCCAACAATACTTACAATAATACAAACTCAGCCATCCAACAATACAACGTTCACAAATCACAATACATCGACCCATATGCCTCTTCCGTATATTCACATAAGCTTCACAAATTAAATTTTGCTATCTCTTGGAAAGGGGAAGTGAAGGAAGCTGTCAGTAGTAGTGATTTGGTAACTGCTGAAAGTAGCATAGTGTTTCAACGGAGGAGGAAATGAATATGATTAGAAAGATGGATTTGAGTTTTAGGGTGTGTTTGGTATGAAGGAAAATGTTTTCCTGGAAAACAAGTTGATTTTTAACTTATTTTCTCATGTTTGGTTGGTGAGTAGAAAATATTTTCCGGAAAAAATTTTTAGTGTTTGATTTATGAATGATTTTTTTTTTTGAGAAATATCTTTTATTTTTACTAGGGTAGAAAATAATTTTTGAAATTGAAAATATTTTTTAAAAACAAACTTAAATTTTTTTGGGGGTGGGGTGGGGGGTTGTAGGGGGTGGGTTGAGGGTAGGGGTGAAAAATTGAATTTTTGAAGTTCAAAATATTTTTTAAAAACAAACTTAAATTTTTTTTGGGGGGGATGGGGGCTGGTAGGGGTGAAAAAATGAAATTTTGAAATTGAAAATATTTTTAAAAACAAACTTATATTTTATTTTATTTTGGGGGGGGGGGGCGGGGGGCCTGGTAGGGCGTGGGTGGGGGGGGGGGTCGAGGGTAGGGGCGAAAAAATGAAATTTTGAAATTGAAAATATTTTTAAAAACAAACTTAATTTTTTTTTTTGGGGGTGGGGGGGTCAATGGTAGGGTGAAAAAATGAAATTTTGAAGTTGAAAATATTTTTTAAAAACAAACTTAAATTTTATTTTATTTGGGGTGGTGGTGGTAGGGGTGGGGTGGGTGGGGGGCTGGGTCGGAGGTGCGTGAGGGGGGGTCAAGGTAAGGTGAACAAATGAAATTTTGAAGTTGAAAATATTTTTTAAAAACATACTTAAAATTTATTTGGGGGGGGGGGGGGGGGGGGGGTCAAGGTAAGGTGAACAAATGAAATTTTGAAGTTGAAAATATTTTTTAAAAACATACTTAAAAAAATTTTTTTGGGGGGGGAGGGGGGCGGTAGGGGTGGGTGGGTTGGTTGGGGGCTGGTTTGAGGGTAGGGACAAAATAAATTGATTTTTTCAACAATTTTTTTTTTAATTGAAAGTTGAAAGAGAGTTTTGGAAAATGTTTTCCTTAGGTTTTGAAGGGAAGTCATTTTCCTTAAATTTGAGGAAAATGAGTTGATTGGAAAACATTTAACCCAACCAAACATGAGAAAATTGGAAAACAGAAAATGTTTTCCTTCATACCAAACACACCCTTAATTTGCATTTGATTTAGTAGATGGATTAGGATTAAAAGAGAAAATTAAGTCAATTCAATCAAAATTGGATAATTTTAGATGATTTGAGGCTTTTCATCCAATTGAGAAATGCAAATGACAAGTATAATAATAATAATAATAATAATAATAATAATAATAATAGGAGTAAAGAATAAAATCAACAAATAAATGAAAATTAAGGGGCATTTTTGACCATTTTTCCTTAATACACAAATCCAAAGACAAATCTACAAGATTTATATCTGATTTTTATGTTTAAAGTTTTCATTTAATAAGTTGAGAGTATAGGAAATTTGATGGAAGTTGTTGGAGGAGTAACGTACCAAATAAAAAATGAGAAAATAAAGCAAACTCAGAGTAGCATGGGATCAATAAGATTCTTGATAGAAAAGCTAACAACATAATAATAATCTCAGTAAAATAAAAATAAAAAGGGACAAACTAAAGTTGAACAAGCCAAGTTATAAATTTTTAGGCCTTAATTAATATTCCTACAATAATGCTAGCCATAGAATACCTAATTACTAGTTTACTACTTGATAGAGAAGATCAGTGAGTGGGCAAAATTGTTTGCATTTATTAGAAAATCGTGTGCTTCTAGTTAAAGTGGTTAATTTTTTTATAGAAAGTTAACAGAAGAATGTAACAAATAGTCGAAGGATGTTTTTTGTTCAATGTAATGACACAAAAATGTAGTTTGAGTTATAGTTAAGGGATATTTTTAGCCATTTACTCTCAATTTACATATAGCTTTTTCAAAAATATTAACGCTCTAAATAAATAGGTACAAAAAAATACTCTATTGTTTTTGCTCCATGGTTGAAAACTACAAATAAAATACAAAATTGGACAATTAAAAAGGCACAGAACATCTTTTCTAGACCAAAATCTGGTGAGAAGCAAACATGGTCAGGCAAACTAGAATACTGAATTATTTGTAAATGTATATGACCCATGGTGTATATCACGTCTATGATTCTGATGAGCCGACTGATATATTGGTGAACCAATCAAAACAAGCTGTCCGCTTTGACTTTCACTAGTCAATCGAGTGAAGGGGATGTTTGTTAACAACCACAATATCTTGAAAAGGCAAAAGAACAAAATCATTACATAAAGCAGATGAGATGAAGAATTTACTATTTTCATGACCAAAGTTCAATTAGAGAACTGTTAATCCTCAAACACTGTGCAAACAAAATATACCGATCTAGAACTCTAATTTCACAAATCTAACCTCCAAAACGGTAAAGATTCCTACCCATTTTGCCAGCAATCACAACTTACAGAAGAGAAGAAAAATAGCCCATTTTTAGACACATTCAACATTGCCACAACAAATAAATTGACAAAAGCAATGAACACTCGAACAAATCCTTATGCAGCAACAAGGAAATGTTCAAATAATCCTATCAAAAATCATTTTTTTTCAAGTTAAAATAACTTTCGTAACATACCCAGATGATAATAATAGGAAATTAAATTGAATAAGCAAAGAGTGTAGATGACGGAGAGAATAAGCAAATTTCTATTCCTTGAATTAGTAACAGAGAATTACACCATCAAAGCTCAAATCAAAAAAAAAAAAACTACCAAACCCTAACCCCCAAATCCGTAAAGGGTCCTTCCTTGCCTCTTAAGTGCATAAACAACATCCATAGCAGTAACCGTCTTTCTCCTAGCGTGCTCTGTGTAAGTCACAGAATCACGAATCACATTTTCCAAAAAGATCTTCAGAACCCCACGAGTCTCTTCGTAAATCAACCCAGAAATACGCTTCACACCACCTCTACGAGCGAGTCTTCGAATAGCCGGCTTTGTAATTCCCTGGATATTGTCTCTCAATACTTTCCTGTGCCTCTTGGCTCCTCCTTTGCCCAATCCTTTGCCTCCTTTACCTCTGCCTGACATTTTTCTGATGAAATTTTAGAGAAGAAATGTTCTTGATTTGGATTTTGATGATTGGGGGTTTGTGATTTTGGTGGTTATATATAGCTGATGTTTGTTTGGGGGTTTAAATCGTGGCCGCTGGTGTGTTGGAGATAAAGGTGATGATCGGACGGATATGAGAGTCGATCCGCGTGAGAGGCGGAGAGTGTATGTGAACCGTTGATTTAATGGAGATCTATGGTGAGGAGTGATTGTTTAGTGATAGTGTGCGGATTGTGCTTTTTTGGTGAGAGAATAAGTACCTTGTTGGCTTGGTCACATTATCTATCATTTCTTATTCCTAAAAAAATACTAAGCCTTATAATTTCCTCTTTTCAATAATAATGGTCAAATATATTAAAAATAATTATTCAACAATATTTAAATTAAAAGATAATTTATCTGATGTTTTTATTTTATCATTTCTATTAAATATTATCTTCGTTTAATTGTCATAGTTTCCTTTTTTAGAGTCAAACGATAATAATGTTGACTAATATTTTACAATGTATTCTTTCATCATATTAATATGTAAAAGCTTGAAATTTATAGTACTCTTCCTATAGTTTTTGAATATCTAATTTTTTTGTTTAAACTATCAAATTAATGTCATCTAATTTAACTTTGAAAATTAGTCAAATTAATTTCGAAAAACGCAATATAACAATTAAAAATGGACAGAGAGAATATTATTTATCATTTAACACATTTTTTAAAACATTAAATTTAATAAAGTCAAAGGATAAAATAATAATAATATCCCTATTATTTATTGCTTCTTAAGACGTGTATCAAGTCACTACTGGACAACTATTGTTTAACATAGAACCGTCAAAATGGGCTTAGCACATGGAGCTGACCAACCCAACCCATTATTGGGGTAGGGTTGGGATAGGATTGTTTAGGGGTGTACATGTCCAGGTTGGTTCTGGTTTTTCGAATATCAAACCAAACCATTTGTGTCGGATTTTTATATCTATAAACCAAACCAAACCAAACCAATAAAACTCAAATTTTTCAACCTTGGGTTTTTTTGGATTTTCGGGTTTTTTGGGTAAAGTATTCATACAAACATATAATTTACTTGTATTTCAAATATTTCTTTAATCCTACCAAAATACAACTATCTAAGGTGTTTCTTAAGAAAATAACACATAATATGATATGAGTAATGACACTAAAATATCCAAAATAATAATAATAATGAAATTTCGTAAAACAAATATTGCAAAATGCAAATTAACAAGTCATAATGAAAATGATCATAATTTAAAAGTATTAAATCATGATAATATAAGTTTAATAAGTATTAATTACATGACTAAATATTAAAGGAAATTAAAATTAGATTATGTATTAGAATTGTCTTATCCAATGTAAAACCAAAGAACAAATATTCAATATTATTGTCATTCTTAGTGTTGAATTGATTTTCTTTTTGCATTAGTATTAATTTGATTTTGATTTAAGCTTTATTATAATTACCAATATCTGTGGACTATAATCTTTATTGAACCATTCAGAATTCTAAGTTTCAAACTTGAAATAATATATTAAAAGATAAAAACTATGAAAAAGTATAAGAAATATTTAAAAATTATATCAAAGTAAACATTTTTATGTATAAAATAAAATTTTAAAAATATATATATAATGTCGGATTGGTTTGGTCTCGGGTTGATTTTTTTTAGTTAAAACCAGGGGCGAATTTAAGTGTCAAATTTGGGTCACCGAAACTCGTGGTTGTAACACCCCGTATCCGAAAATGGAGATTTAAGATTTCTGGTGTTACAGGTGGCACTCACGGACACCATCCACGGACCGTAGATGGACTCACGGTCCGTCCTGCAGGTCCGTGGTTCGTGACAGAAAACTTCCCCAGAACTCAGTCAGAAAATTTGGCTAAGTGTTGACCCACGGCCGGACTTACGGTCCGTAAGTCAAGTCACGGATCGTAGTTCGTGTCCATTGATCGATGCCCCAAAAGTCCAGCTTCAGTCCCGAACTACGGTTGACCAGCACGGACCGTCATTTGATCCACGGTCCGTAGGTCTGACCGTAGATCGAAGGTTAGCAACCAGTTAGCTGAAAATTCTGATGGGTCAACTTCAGATGGTCATAACCTTTAGCACAAAATGAATTAGGTGCCCCATGACCTATGGTTAGATAGATAATTGAATTATCTTTCCAACGCCACCGATTTTTCTAAATTCCGACCTTCGAGTAAAAAGTTATGCCCGTTTTAGTGAAGCCCTGTCGGCAGACTCGATCTACGGACCCAATTGACGGACCGTCAGTCCATTCCGTCGATCACTCCGACATCAGTTAATTCAGGGGTCTTTTGGTCTTTTCCTATTTCGTTTAACCCCTAAGATACGTCGTTTAGACCCTAAATCATGAGGTTTTAATCAGTTTAAACCTAGAAACATAATTAGAACTTACCTTAGTCAAAATCATTAATCAAAACTTAGAAAATTAGAAGCAAAAGAGGAGAAAAAGGTCAAGAACCCTAGTTCAAGAACGCAGCAAGTTTCCTTCAGTTCCAACCCCGAAATCGAAAGATTTCTCCGTGGAATTCGTCACCAGGTATGTGGGATTTCACTAGTGGGTTCCTTTCGCCCATTAGGTCCCTAGAATTCAGTCAGATTCTTGATTCCATGATTATGAACAGACCTAGGGTTTCTAGAATTATAGCAGATCATCATGAATTAGTTATTTAAATGTTCCAAATCAAATTATCATGTTATTACTCAGTTTATCGCATGAATTTCAGAACCCTAGCTATGTATTTCTTTAGTTCTTGAATTACACATGCTAGGTCAGATATTTCAGTTATTCAGTTTTACATGCCTCAGTTTATGAATGCATAATTATCAAATTAATTGTTGCATTCTCAGTTTGCATGTTCAGTTCGAGCTATCCAGTATTTACAGAAATTCAGTCATAACCAGTTAACTACTTAATTCATTGGGAGTAGCATAATACCGAGTTGGACTAGGGTTTCAGCGTACCCATATAGTCCCAGAACTACGAGCCACGTAGGTGTAAGTCCCCTCTGTGGGCAACATCAGTTTAGTGATCACGCCAGCATGCCTCTATACCTCTGGCAGGGTATATTGGGTCCTCTCAATGGGGCGTATACATCGGACTCCACATTTAGCTCATGTGGTTTTATGTCGGTTATTAGTAGCTCCCACAGTTCAGTCAGACTCTATTGCATTGACCATATTTCAGTACAGTCAGTATTCAGTCTCAGCATGTTATAAATTTGGTCATTGCATCAGTTAGCTCAGTATTCAGTATTTTCAGTATCTATATCATGTTCAGGTTATATCATTGCTCAGTATGCTTTGTTCAGTTATATGTTATTTCAGCTTTACTCTATCCTGCATGCTCAGTACCTTTCAAGTACTGACGCATACGTGCGCTACATCTTCTCGTGATGTAGGTTCAGGTTCTCAGTATCCAGATCACGCTTAGATCGGTTCTCGATCTTCAGTTCAGCAGCATCAGTGGTGAGTCCTCATTCTTCGAGGACTAGTGACATGCTTATCTTTATCGCTTTTAGTCTTTAGTTTCAGTTTTGCTAGATCTAGTTGGGGCATGTCCCAACATTTCTAGTCAGTTTAGAGGTTTATTTCAGACATACATAGATTCAGCTTAGTATCTTGAGTTTGATATTTCTTTTGTATTAAACTCTCAGATTTCATATATTCAGTTACAGTATATGGGTATTCCCCATCTTTTCAGATTTATGATTTAGCTTCCGCATCAGTTTATTTTCTTTAGTATGCTCATGATCATGCCAGCAGGGTTAGCTTGGGATCACTTGTGGTCCTAGGTCCCGTGTCCGCATCTCGGGGATAGCTCGGGGCGTGACAGTGGTCATCCGGCTAAACTCGATATATCATTTGTACAATTCTTTAAAATATATTAAATATTACCTAAAGGAACCCATGTCTAAAATGACCAGATGGCTCACTGGTCTGAGGGCTTATTATTGAGCTGGTAGTCGCTGATTCGAATTCAGTCAGCGCTCAATTTGCCCATTTTTTTGTAAGGTCTATTTTATTATATTAATTAATAAAAGAAATGGCATTTACAACTTTAATTAGCCAAGGCAAAAAATAGAAGAAAAATATATATTAAACGTCTTCTCTTTAGCTTGCTAATTTATTGTCTTTATAAAATATTGGAAATATAGCGGAAATAAAAATAAAAATTTTAAATTTATTATTTTTATTTTAATTATTAAAAATCTATGTAGGGGTATATTTGATCTTTTTCACATATTTTTTGACTTATTTAATTAACATTTTTTGAGTTTCTTATTCTTATTTCTTTGTTTTTTCGTTCACTTTAGTGTAAAACCTAAATTAAAAGAAAGAACTGTGAATGGAAAAAGTGAAAAAATTAAGAAAAAAATTTAGAACAATTTTTTTTTGGGCTATATTGGAATTTAAATGTTATTATTTTTGTGGCTATATTGAAATTTAGTTTTTATATCTATAATTTTTTGGGGAATCTATAATAAATTTTACAATAAAATTAGTGAAAAAAATAAATGTGATCATTAAAATAATAAATTCAAATTAGCCGTTGAATAAAAAAATCTAAAAAAAATATATGACAAGGATCAAATATACCCCTATATTAATTAATTTTTTTAATATTAATTTTTGCATTCATTAGAGGAAAAGAGTATAGGTGAGTCATTTGTGTGACATTAGGGATATATATAAGCCACTTTCATAACAAGGTGCATGTCAACTCTAAATCACAAAGTTGAGGGCTATATTAGGCCATTTTTCCTACAATTTTAGATATTATCTTTAAAGTAATAGTGCACCCGTCTTCTTGAAATCCTGGATTCACCTCTAGTTAAAATCAAATCAACCCAAATATAGTTGGGTTTTTTTTTAATACCAAACCAAGTCAAACCAACCACTAGTCGGGTTTTTTTTCTCGGTTTGCGATTTGGTTTGGTTTTCGGTTCGATTTTGTACACCCCTAGAATTTTTCAAGCTCATTTAAAACTGGCTTATAAGCTCGGCCCATTTAAGTCTTTCGCCCTTGAGGCTTGATCGGAGTCAGCCCATGGACCAAAACATTTTATTTAAGAGTAACTTACAATAATCTCACTAGTATATAATATAATTACTTAAATACACGCTATGTTGTAATATTATGAATCTTACCAGATTTTTGTACGTTCATATACATGTATCTTGGACTATATGGACTAAAATTAGGTTAATTTGTTTTAGATACACTATATTCAAGTAGATTCGTATGTATCTAGAATACATAGACAAATCTCGCACCTTCTCCCCCCTCCCATCTTGCTTGTCACTCTTTTATCTCGCTCGTGTATCTGTATGCGAGATACATGTTAATTACACTATTTTTTTGTTAGTGTTATTGAAACAACACCATTATTTGTCATAGTTAATTTGAAAATCTTCTCATTTTCTTGATATTATAGAATATAAGTTTGTAAAGAAAAAATTGAAAAAAAAAGGTTAGCCCGCCCTAGCCCTCGGCCCTTCTAGGGTTGGATTGGATTGAACATTTTTAGGCCCTTACAAATGAAGGGCCGGCCCGCCCTAGCCCTTTAAATTCTTTGGTCTGCGAAGCTTGGACCGGATAGGACTGGACCGACCCTTTTTGACAACTCTAATTGAACAAAAGGAATAAAATTTGTTTTCACAACACTTAAATTATTTTAATTTTTGAGAACAAGTATTGAAAATATCACTATGTGAATTATTTCTTCCGTCTCTTTTTACTTGTTCAATTTTAACATTTTTGAATCTCTTTTTACTTGTCAATTTTGACAAATCAAGAAAAAACAATATTTTTTTTACCTATTACACCCTTAATTTATTTAGAGAGTTAATATTTTTGAAAAAGATAGAATCTCTTTAATGAATAAATTGATTTTGAGATTCTATCAATTAATAGTAGGGATGGCAATGGGGGGAGGGGGGACGATTTTAGCTCAACCGGCAAAATATTCCTCCCCGTCCTACATAACAATTTTTTTTCATTTTCAACTCTTCCCAACTCCCACATTCCCCGTATAATTTTTCCAATATTTTCTTTTTTAAGTTTGATATTAAAAATAAAATTCATAAAATAAATTGATTTTTTCATTAAGTATTATTATTTAATAGGATAGTGACTTAAAAAGTTAAGTATTATTTAGTAGTCCACTTGGAAAACACGTAAGAAATTGTATTACTCCTTCTGTTTCAAAAAGAGTGACGTAGTTTGATTTGGTACAGAGTTTAAGAAAATAAAAAAACTTTTGAATCTTATTGTCCTAAATTAAAGTTATATCGAATATATAAAATAGTCATATAATCTTGTGGCCTTAAACATGTCACGTAGAAAGCTGAAATTAAAATATTACAAAAAAAAAAACAAAAAGAAGTCATTCTTTTTAAAACATATTAAAAGGAAAGTAGGTGATTCTTTTTAAAATATAGGAAGAATTTTTTATCGAACCATTTTTCATTTATTATCCTAAATATTTTAATAGTTTTTAAAGAAATTATTTTAATAAATAATACTCTATCACTCTTAGGGCCTGTTTGGATTGGCTTTTGAATTATGACTTATAAGCCAAAAGCCATAAGTTCGGATTTCTAACTTATGGCTTTTGGCTTATTTTTGTTATTTTGGCTTCAAAATAAGTGTTTATAAGCACTTTTTAACTTTACTCAAACAGTTCAAAACTGTTTTAAAACTATTTTGGCTTAAAAACACCTAAAATAAGTCAATCCAAACGGGCACTTATAACATATAAAAAATTGAAATTAAGTTTGAACTCACATAAAATTATATATACCACAACTTGTCCCCCCGCATTAATTTAAAAAATCCACTTGAATCCACCATGTACAATATTAAATTCATCCCGCTCCGCATAGTCTTAAAATCACCCCACTCCAGTATCATTCCTAATTAATAAGAATTAATTAATAAATTCATTACGTTAATTATTATTTTCGTAATAAATATGTCCAAATAAAAAATAAACCAATAAATAGAAACAAAAGGAAATACATGGGTATACTGTATTTGTTAGTGGCTTTTAGTTGGCTTGCTATTTAAATCTTCATTATGATCCCCTCTTCCATTTTCTTTTCCAAATATTTTCTCTTAATTTATGTAAGACATTTTTTTAAAGCATGTTTGGATTAATTTTTAACTTATTTTATGTTAATTAAATTAATGAGACAATACATATTAAAAATACGTAATCTAAATCTTATTTTCTTGTATGGCTCTTTGTAAAGTTATAAATATTTATAATAATTTATCTTTTAAAAATTACATGAAGCTTCATTAAAGAAAAAAAAACAAATATGAAAAAGAACTTAAAACAGATTCATGTTGAACTATAAATAATTCAATTATTTTGAGCAATAAAAAAAACTCAAAAAAGTTCAATTAATATAAATAGAAGCTTAATATTTTTTAGTATAGATTTTAATATTCGTAAATACTTTCTAATATATCAAAACATTAACAGTGTGCTTAAAATCTAATTGATTTTTTTGTTCCAAAAAGAACATTACCTTTTTTGAATTAAAACTTAAGACCATTGTCATTATTAGTTTATTTTCTTTTAACATTGTTAATCCTTTTCATAATTTCAACATTGTTAATTTCTCATATAATACAGTTTATGCAGAACTTGCTATAAAAGCAACAAGTACTACTCAAACAATCCTTCATGTAATGAAATATCCAGATCTGAATAGCTTAAATTGTCATTCAAAGAGTGAAGAAGACGAAGAGAATCAGAATTAATAACTAAAGCACATTTCTATTCCATGAATATGTAACAGAGAATTACACCATCAAAGCACAAATAAAAAAAAAAACCCAACAAACCCTAACCCCCAAATCCGTAAAGGGTCCTTCCTTGCCTCTTAAGTGCATAAACAACATCCATAGCAGTAACCGTCTTTCTCCTAGCGTGTTCTGTGTAAGTTACAGAATCACGAATCACATTTTCCAAAAAGATCTTCAAAACCCCACGAGTCTCTTCGTAAATCAACCCAGAAATACGCTTCACACCACCTCTACGAGCGAGTCTTCGAATAGCTGGCTTTGTTATTCCCTGAATATTATCTCTCAACACTTTCCTGTGCCTCTTGGCTCCTCCTTTGCCCAATCCTTTGCCTCCTTTACCTCTGCCTGACATTTTTCTGAAGAAATTTTTGAGAAGAAATGCTCTTGATTTGGATTATGATGACTGGGCTTTGAGGGTTCTGTGTATATATATAGCTGATGATTTAAATCGTGGCCGTTGGTGTGTTGGAGCTTAAAGTGATGATCGGACGGATATTAGTATCGATCCGTGAGAGAGGCGAATCTGTATTTGAACCGTTGATTATATGGAGATCTACGGTAGAGAGTGATTGTTTTGTGATGGGTGCGGATTGTGTTTTTTTGGTTTTGTCCAGGGAAATAGGGAATCTATTTCTAAATATTTTTTAAAGCCTCTTATAATTTGTGTTGGCCTATTCAGGCATTAAATTATTACGTATTTTTTGAAATATTATATTATGGTTTAATATTTATAACACATTATTTTGGTTATTAGTATTTCAAAATATTGGACAATTTAGTGCATAAAGAATCTCGCGTTTATGCAGGATTTGAAGAAGAGTTGTACATAAAGAGATATGATGTAGACAGTCTATTCTAATGCAAGTAAGGATGACTACTTTCACAACTTAACCTCGTAAGTTGTAGATCACATGAGAACGATTTAACATTGTTACAAAAATCGTATAATCTGAAGTAACGAACAATTTCATTATCAAGCTAAAAAGAAAAAGAAAAAAAAGCTAGCATCCTAAAACTAAAAGCATAACAGCAAACGAAAAATACTATTATATGGTTCTATCAACACAAATTGTTTGACTTTAAATATTTTTTAAAAGTTTTGAATATTAATGTGAGGAACATTACAAGTGGAACAAGAGTTCTTACTCATAAATTTCAGTTTCCTAGAAAGAAATTAAGTGAAATTTTTTTCCACATCGAAGGCGGGTTCAGAAGTTAATTTAATTTGTATAGTTTAGGTTTTTATTACAAAATTTATTGAGTATAATTTAGAAATTATGAGTTTCAAATATAATTTATTTTGAAATTGGTATATTCTTAACATATGTTCTATGATCTGAGCTACACTCCCAACTTTATTGAGTTATGTAATTACCGTACAGTATGGCTCATCATTGTGGCTGTAGTTTAGTGGTGAGAATTCCACGTTGTGGCCGTGGAGACCTGGGCTCGAATCCCAGCAGCCACACAAATTCAAATCATTATTTTTTATGTTCCTTCACATTTTCATTTTGGGCTTTTTTTTAGGGAAAATAATTATAAAAATTTTAAGAATCTCATAGTGTAAGGAACAAATTATATGAATTTAAAACAGCTCATAAACACATGGTAGAATATTCACTCAACACCAAAGCTGGAGGCAGTATACAGAGCAATGCCAGCATTCATAATGTGGATTATATGGAAAAGGAGAAACAGTATCAAGCATGGAGGAAATGTGACTTTGAATAACATGATATGGCAAGTACAAGACATGATTAGGAACTACTCAAAAGCTTATACCCTTGGATGAAGATAGGAAAGGAGGATTGGCCTCACATGGTTAACTTATTGAAGAAATACAAACCAAGATTACACTATTATTGTGTTACTTGGAAATTTCCAGCAAGGGATAGGGTGAAATGCAACACTGATGGGGCGTGTAGGGGAAATCCAGGGATGAGTGCACTTGCTTTCTGTGTAAGGGATGAGTTTGGACTTTGGAGATCTGATATATGGTGCAGCAAGAGGAATAGGTATAGCCACAAATACAGAAGCAGAATCTATAGCTATTAAGGAAGCTTTGGGGTTTTGTCAGTCCATTAATCTAAAGGATGTAACGATTGAAACAGATTCCCTCACATTGAAAATGATGATTGAGAGGGAATGGAAGGTGCCATGGGACCTTATAGAGATGATAGAATGAATAAGGATCCAAATGCAACTAATACAAGCAAACATAAAGCATATCTATAGAGAAGGAAACACAGTGGCAGATTCATTAGCTAATGAAGTTGTAGACGACACACAAGACACAAAGGAATATCACAGTTTTTATGAGCTACCAGCACATATAAGGAAACACATAAACATGGACAAGGCTCAAATTCCTAACCTTAGGATTAGGACACGAAGAATAAACAGCCAATGAAACAGAAAAGCAAAAGCAGGGGAAGGAAAAAGATACATATGTAGAGAATCATAAAAGGGACCCCAATAGTTATATGCCGAGAGAAAAAAAGAACACTTTGATCTATCAGGACAAGATCCTAACCTAGCTAGTTCCCATAGCTACCAAAAGCTTCACCAGAAAGAGGGGTCTTGCGTCCCACCACCACAGTCCAGAGTCAACAGTGAGCTTCAATTTCAATCCATCACCTGGAGACAACAAGATATTAAGGGTGTGTTTGGTATGAAGGAAAATGTTTTCCTAGAAAATGTTTTCCTGGAAAACAAGTTGATTTTTGACTTATTTTCTCATGTTTGGTTGGTGAGTAGAAAAAATTTTCCGGAAAAAATTTTTAGTGTTTGATTTATGAATGAAAAATATTTTTGAGAAATATTTTTTATTTTTACTAGAGTAGAAAATAATTTTTGAAATTGAAAATAGTTTTTAAAAACAAACTTAAATTTTTTTTGGGGGGTGGGGGTGGGGGTGGTAGGGAGTGGGTGAGGGGGGGGGGTCGAGGGTAGGGGTGAAAAATTGAAATTTTGAAGTTGAAAAAATATTTTTGAAAAACAAACTTAAATTTTTTTTTTTGGGGGGGGGGGGGGGGGGGGGCTGGTAAGGGGGTGGGTGGGTGGGGGTCAAGGGTAGGGGTGAAAAAATGAAATTTTGAAATTGAAAATATTTTTAAAAAACAAACTTGAAATTTTTTTATTTTTTTTTTGGGGAGGGGGGGTGGGGGCTTGGTAGGGGGTGGGTGGGTGGGGGTTCTAGGGGTGAAAAAATGAAATTTTGAAATTAAAAATATTTTTTTAAAAAAAACTTAAATTTTTTGTGGGGGGGAGGGGGGCTGGTGGGGGTGGGGGTCAAAGGTAGGATAAAAAAATGAATTTTTGAAGTTGAGAATATTTTTTAAAAACAAACTTAATTTTATTTTTTTTTTGGGGGGGGGGAGTGTTAGGGGTGGGTGGGTGGGGGGCTGGGTAGGAGGTGGGTAGGGGGTAAAATAATAAAAAATTGAAATTAGAAATATCTTTTAAAAAAAAATTTTAATATTTTTTTGGGAGGGGGTGGGGGTAGGGGTGAGGGTGGGGTAAAAAAATTGAATTTAAAAACAAGCTTTGGGTAAAAAAATTGAATTTAAAAACAAGCTTTAAAATTTTATTTTTTTTTATTTTTTTTGGGGGGGGGAGGGTTGGTTGGGGGTGGTTTGAGGGAAGGGACAAAATAAATTAATTTTTTCAACAAAAATATAATTGTAATTTGAAGTTGGAAGAGAGTTTTGGAAAATGTTTTCCTTAAGTTTAGAAGGGAAGTCATTTTCCTTAAATTTGAGGAAAATGAGTTGATTTGGAAAACATTTTCCAAAACATTTAGCCCAACCAAACATGAGAAAATTGGAAAACATTTTCCGAAAAATGTTTTCCTTCATACCAAACACACCCTAAATCTGACAAAACAGGGCGAGAAGGAAATGAAAATTCTGGACTCACCAGAGGCTAAGGAAGACGATAGATAGAGACATTCTAACAACAATCAAGGATGGAGCTTGCTTGAAGATGCCGATTCCAGCTCAAAAGAAACATCACATAAGAAGGAAAGTACAGAGTACTCTTTAACTATGTCTAGTGGTTTTTTAGATAATTAGGAAACATTGTTTTTTGGATCAGGCGGTTTGGGCCTGTTTTCCGTTTGTTTTTTGCGGATTATTAATAAAATAGGTCCACCTGAGGACCTAAGATTTGATTATTAAAGGAAAATTTTTCAAAACAACAATATTTTAGCTTTTAATGGGACTCCTTAGCAATAGTTTCACTATTTATTTAAAATGTCAAAATTTTAATTTGTTAAGGATTGAGTTATGTATTTATTTTTAATTTGAAAGAATACAAATAATTAATAAATGAATAGAGAAAATCATGGAACAAAAAATTTCAAAAAAGGTTTTTTAAAAAAAAATTTAACATCAGTTACGTTTTTGAAAGAGTATATGTTGTCATTTTTCTTTTTAGCGTTTTTTTCTTTGTTCTTAAGAATTTCAATTTTTTTTTTGAAAGCAGTAGTTTGTATTTTATATCTTATATGAGTGGAAGTGTTGGAAAATATCTAATGCCCTCTGTTTTGGATATTTAAATGTTTGAACTTCTTATGTATTCGAATACCTAATGATATGTATAACTAATTTAAAATACAAAAAATGTTGGTATTGATTTATGATAAATACAACTCTTTGACATTCTAGTTCAAGTACAAAATAAAGGTAGTTGTGTAGTATATACCAAAATATAAATACAAATTAGTTGTAGATCGAAATGATATTGAAAAATACAGTTGCGATGAATACATATATAATACATAGAATAAGTTTATTCAAAAATAAATTGTATTTATATTTCAATATTCAATTTTGTTATATTATTATTTCACTTTAAATTTGCAGAAAGTATTTTCTAGCTTAGTTTTTGTTTGAAATATCAGGTTGTATTTCAATATCATTTTGTATATCAAACGCAGAATGAATACCAATAATTTTGTACTCCCCTTCTTGTGATGTATTCGTCGCACTATTTTATATATTATGTATTCATAAAATGATATTGCTTTAGCCAAATAAAATACAAAATATGTCTTACTAAGTTTGTATTTCAAATATCAGGTTGTATTTCAATATGATTTTGTATTTCAAACGAAAAAATGAATACCAATAAGTTTTCATTTCCCTTCTTATAATGTATTCGTCACAATTCTATAAATTATGTATTCAATCATAATATATAGAATTGTGACGAATACATTATATAACTCTTTAAATTACTACAAACTAAAAAAGAAATACAATATTTTAAAATAAAAATACAAATGATGAGTAAAAGAAAAACAATTGACAAACAAAAATTAATATGAATACAATTGTGGTATGAATATAATTTTGTAACCTTCTTATTTGACTTTGTCTTTCTTCTTCTTCTTCATCTACTATGTTTTTTTTCCGATTATTTTCCATCAAAACCGAATCTGAATCCGTATTCACTTGTGCATTAGTAACCCTATAAGCAAAATTCGAAATTATTAAATATGAATGTATAAAAAAATCAAACAATAAATGATGTATGTGTGCTAATGCAGTTACTACAATCTACTAAATCTCAAATATGAAAATAAAATTTTTGATAATTTGAATTTCGAAATTATCAAAAATTAGAATGTATTAAATATCAAACAAAATAAACATACATATGAATTTCTAGATTCTCCAAAATCTGAAAAATTAAAAGAAAATCACAAAACAAATTGAAAAAATTGAAAATCATAACTATTTGATGAATAACTAAACAAAATCACATAAAAATTGAAAAATTCGACTGAAAATCCGTAATATATAGAATCGGTGATTTAAACATCAAATCAAAATAAATCAAAATGGATAATGGAAATTACCTTGCCAATCGAGAAATCTGCTTGAATTAATAAATAGATTTCATTTAACAATAAAGAAGATTTCTTGATGAACAACAATTTAGCACCTTGAAGAAAGATAAACTTGAAACGTGAAAGGTGGGGAAGAAACGTGAAAAGTGGGAAAGAAACGTGAATGGAGTTGAAAAAAGGTTAATGTGTATTGGTTTAATTTTTTTCTTTAAACGGTTATTAATATATAATTTGGTCCAATATAGGATTCTTTCCATAAATAAAATTAATTTTAAATACTAAAATCTGAATACATATTATTTTATAAAAATATTGTCATTCTGCCATTTAAAATAAATATTTTAAAGTGTTGTTGTTTTGACTAATTATGTTAGATATTATGACTTAATTGCTAATTTTCCAGGGAAAATTTTCAAAACAACAATATTTTAGCTTTAAGTGGGACTCCTTAGCAACATTTTCATTATTTATTAAAAATGTCATTATTTTAGTTTGTTCTGGGATTAGTTATGTATTTATTTTATTTTGATTAATTTGAAAGAATACAAATAATTAATAACAGAATAAAGAAAATCATGGAACAAAAAAATTCAAAAAAGGTTAAAAAGATTTTAAATACAAATTAGTTACGTTTTGAAAAGAGCATAAATAGTCATCTTTTTGTCGAGCATTCTTTTTGCTTTCTTCTTAAGAAGATCAAAAAAAAAAATTAAAATAATTTAGTTTGTCTTCCGAATCATTCATCTGATAACTTTCAAAGCTTCTTCAAGTCGAATATGGCATATTTTTGAAACAGAATTTTTCAAAATTGACGACTATAAATTTGTCACATCCAATGAACAATCGAAAAACAATCAGGTATATTTGTATATGTCGAGTACAAGAGTATTTTTTTTTATTGAACCAGTGAAATCTTTGTATGTATTGGGATTTATAGTTTTTTTCGGACATTTTGTATCCAAATTATGATGTATAACAAATGAAATTATTATTTTTTACTTTAGTAGCTATTTTTTTCTGCTTGAATGCATACAATAATTTGTATCCCATTAAGTTAATGTAACTAATCGATCATGAACTATATGTTGAATACAACAATATATGAATACAAAAGTGAGATGAAAATACAAAGTTATAAATACAAAGTGAGATTGAACATAAAGTTATGAATACAAAAGAAATACTTTCTTCATTTGAAATACAAAGTGACTTTGAAAGGTAAAATACAAACTAATCGATCATGAACTGTATGTTGAATACAACAATATATGAATACAAAAGTGAGATAAAAATACAAAGTGAGATTGAATATAAAGTTGTGAATACAAAAGAAATACTCTCTTCATTTGAAATACAAAGTGACTTTGAAAGGTAAAGTAGGCACATAAAATACAAAACTTGTTGGTATACAATTAGGTTGAATACAAAACAAAAGAGAAATACAAACTTGTTCACATATAAATTGAGATTGAAATACAGAAAAAATACCCAAATAAAATACAAAATTGTGAGCATACAGTTAGAATGAATACAAATTAAGAAGGAAATACAAACATGTTGGTATACTAATTGAGATTGAAATACAATGTAAAAACAAAAAATGTGAAACTTTTTAATATATAGATAGAATGAATACAGTCAGTCCAACAAACTACTTAATTTAAACTATTTTTTTCAGCTAAATTCTCCATAACACAAGTTGTAATTCAAACTCTTTTTTCCCGAATAAAGTAAAACTTTTTGTGAGTCATGTTGTATTCTCTTGCCGTAATTCCCACTCTTATATCTCAACATGTTTGATGAAATGTACAATTTATCCAAAAAATTGTTACAACCCAACTAATATATTAGGTCCATATAGACTATTATGGAAGCCCAAAGCTACGTTTGAAATATATATTATAAGAACTTATGCCTCAAGCTCTCTGTCAACTCATGCAAAATATTCACGGGTCACTAGCAACAAGTAGCCACAAATACACAGAGCAATAACTCTGTAATATGTAGAATATCATAACTATTTGATGAATATCTAAACACAATCACATAAAAATTGGAAAATTCGATTGTAAATTCGTAATATATAGAATCGGTGATTTAAACATCAAATCAAAATAAATCAAAATAGATAATGGAAATTACCTTGCAAATCGAGAAATCTGCTTGAATTAATAAAGAGATGTCGTTTAACAATAGAGAAAATTTCTTGATGAACAATAATTGAGCACCTTGAAGAAAGATAATCTTGAAACGTGGAAGGAGGGGAAGAAACGTGAAAGGTGGGGAAGAAACGTGAATGGTGAAGAAGAAGGTTAATGGGTATTGGTTTTAAAAAAATTTCTTTTTAAACGGTTATTGGTATATAATTTGGCCCAATATAGAACTCTTTTCATAAATAAAATTAATTTTAAATACTAAAATCTGAATACATATTATTTTATAAAAATATTGTCATTCTGTCATTTTAAATAAATATTTTAAAGTATTGTTATTTTAACTAATTATATTAGGTATTATGACTTAATTGTTAATTTTCCCTAAAAAAAAAGGAACAAATTATATTTTATCTCTACTCTTTTAGTAATTACAATAATTTCTTAAAATTTGTACCTTCCAGATATATGAGTCACACTCCGGATACATTAATTCTGATATAATAAATATATGTCTATTACTCTAAAACAAGGAACAAAATCGTTTATGTTGCGCTTAAAAAAAAAGAAACGTAACATTAAATATCAAATTCATAAATCACGCAATTGTTGTCACTGTTAATCAATCTCTCTCAACACATAACAACTTCAAACAATTCAAATTTCAAATTTCTTCACTCAAATTGTCAAAAACTTTTTAACTTCGATTCAAAATCATTGAAAAATTGAGTTGATACATCATGAATATCTCTATTTTGTTGAGACATTCAAGAATTTGAAAAAGTGAGGTGAGTTATGAACGATACATAAGTGATGAAATAGTTGTTGGACAAAATATTTCTTTTGTGAATGTTGAATCAACCATTGCAGCTTGGAGATCGATGAGTTGAGGAAAATCTGGAGATTCGATACATTACAGAGACAAGCGTTGTTTTATCCCTATACAATTGTCTTTCCTTCACCTTTGTATTGTTTGAATTAGTTATGTAATTTGTTACTTTCAATTATGATA